GGGGGGGGGGGGGGGGGACTCGGTATTTTGTCCCATGGATCTCTTAGTGGTGAAGTCCTTGCCTTTTGACCGGGTAAGCGGGCGAAAACGCAGCGCACACAAGTTCGAAGCAAGAGGCGGAGACTTGATGTGCGAATGCCGCAGAACTTAAAACTCAACTCGCTACGAAGCCATCTTGGCTTGCGTGCGATTCACAGAAATGAGTTTAAGGAGCAGCAACGCAAGAATTATATTGCGTCGGTGCAAGCGTATTTTATGGAGATCAAGCAGCGGATAGACTTTTTAGCCAATGCGACGGAGTTGAATGATGCTGACGAGTATGTGCTACCTCGTCTTCATGACTTGCTGGTGGAGGATGACTTGCTGGTGGAGGTTGGCATGCCCATTGGAGCGACAACAGTATTGTAAAAGTCGGTCTTGTAAGATTCGGTCTAATAAAGGCGATACTAATGCCTTAGAATAAATAAACGCGTAGGAAAATTATATTTATCGTGTAAATATCGATATAAATAAGAGAAATGAGACGTTTAATAAAGTTAGGTTTGCCTCGTGAAAACAGCAATATTCTGAGGGATTGTGAGGCTGAGACATTGCCTATATATAATCCTCTCAGTACTGTTTCCGCCGAAGGGATTTTATTTAGTGTTTCGTTGTCGCTCTATTCTGGGGCGAATCCGATAGACTCATAAAATCCTATCTTTAGAAAAAATATATATAAATAAAAATACTCTTGACGTCTTTAGTTATTGTCTGAACCAATAACTTGCCACTATCAAGAACTACCGACTTAACCTTCATCAGACTGGCACATCTGGTTGTCTTATCGGAGGATCAACTAGGTAACGTTAATAGTCCTTAGAAACCTATATTCGGTTGAGCCATCTCGCTATCGAAGTATTCAGATATAAATAAAATTGGAAAGTAAATAAAGCTCTATTAATAGAACTCGACCAACTCTTTTATGTTTGGTATTTTACTGAGGCATTTTAATGGCCTCATCCAAATATCTGATATGATAAATGGAAAAGGTTTAATTAATAAAACCATTAAAAAACATTTTAGGAGACTTTAGTTCCTCGTGCTATTAAGAGCACATAAAGGAGACTTAAGTTCCTCTTACTATTCAGAGTACATTTAGGAAACTTAAGTTCCTCGTACTATTAAGAGTACGTTTATAGTTTGCGTACTGCTTAAGAGTACGTTTATACATAGAGTCTAATGTGGAGGCCCGGCTTATTACACAGCCCCCACCCAGCTGAGACCCAAGAGAAGCAAGTTGATCACTCAAGCTGATTATTGGTCAAAAAGCGAGAAAGGAATAACGGGTCGAAACATTGAGTAGCATAACATATAGTTAATGTTTCTCAGGCGGAGAAGCTAAGTGTTCTCGGTTACCCTGTGAGTTTTGGGCTTAGGTCCAGTAGGTCCGTGGTGGTCGACTGGAGGTTCCTTACGCTTCAGTGTCTTAAGCACATATGAAGGATGAGCATTAAAGCTCGGGATAAATGCTGTAGGCGGATAGGTTATAACTTCCGTTCCTTCAGACGATGGAAACATACAATATTTTTTAGCTTGTGACTTATGCAGGCGTTTACGCCATTTTCGATTAAAGGCTTTTAAATAATCTTGATTAT